AAGGTGGGATTGCCAGTGGGGAGAACACAGAAGTAGTGGGCTTTTGGGGGGCTCCCAGGAGAGGAACCGGGGTGCTGATGGTGCCTCCTTGCACCCGCAGCACGGAGAGGAGGTGTCCCCCGCCGCCAGCGACCTGGCCATGGTCTTGACCCGAGGGCTGAGCCTGGAGCACCAGAAGAGCAGCCGGGACTCGCTGCAGTACTCCAGTGGCTACAGCACGCAGACCACCACCCCCTCCTGCTCCGAGGACACCATCCCTTCCCAAGGTACCGGCCCCACCGCGGCGGGGGGCACCCAGGGCCACCCGAAATGGCACCCGGAGGGAGGCAGAGGACGGCAGAAGCTGCTGTGGTCCTGGGGCATGTCTGCATGCACGGGGTGTGGTAGCGTTGGGCTGCAGTCTCGTGACGTAGGGCAGGGTGGGTGAAGATTTAATGTGTGGTTTGGGTTCGGTGTGTGGCACAAGCGTCGTGCCACGTGGTAACCACGGGGCTTCCTGGTTAGCTGGGCGTTCGCCCGGAGGGAGGCAGAGGACGGCAGAAGCTGCTGTGGTCCTGGGGCATGTCTGCATGCACGGGGTGTGGTAGCGTTGGGCTGCAGTCTCGTGACGTAGGGCAGGGTGGGTGAAGATTTAATGTGTGGTTTGGGTTCGGTGTGTGGCACAAGCGTCGTGCCACGTGGTAACCACGGGGCTTCCTGGTTAGCTGGGCGTTCGTTGTGCGTTCGTTGGGTCTTGATGGCTACAGTTGTGTTGGGCAGCGCTGTAGCAGATAGCGTGGTGGTTGGTGTGTGGTTTGCGGTGACGTGTTTGTGTTGGTTGGGTGTAGGCGGAGACGGTGGCAGATGGCGGGGTGATGGCAGCGGAGGTGGCGGTTGGAGATCAGATCACCACGGGAACAGTCGCGTTGTGCTGTGATCGTGTTGGCGGAGCCTGTTGTGAGCACGTGGTGGCGGAGTTTGGCTGTGATCCCGTTGGGGCAGTGGTGGTTGGGGTGGTTGTGACGGTGACGGTTGGGTCTGACGATGACTGTGCGGTGGTGACGGCTGAGGCCGGTTGTGACGGCCATGGGTGCGGCTGGTTGTGGTCACGTAGCGATGGTGACAGTTGGGTTCGGTTCTGATCTCAGTGTGGTGGTTGGGGTGACTGTGGTTGCCTTCTGATGGTGATGGTTGGGCTTGACAGTGAGCACGTTGTGGCAGCAGTGGTTGGGGCCAGCTGGGATTGGCCGGTTGAACCACAACACGTCGCTATGGTGGTGGCTGAGTTTGGATGTGGCCATGCAAAAATGATGTTGGTTGGGGCTGGCTGCGATCACGTTGTGGAGGTAGTGGTTGGGCTTGGCAGTGCCGCCGGGGCCGCCCGCTGCCT